GGCGCCGGAGGGGACTCGGAGAGCGCCTAGCCCGGAGCGCGCCTCTTGGAACCGCGCGTGGGTTCCGGCCACGCAGGGCGCCAGACCTCTGCCTTTTGAACGAGAGCTCACGCTGCAATTGATTGGGCTCCTCCGGGAGGGCGCGTGTGTCCCGGGGAGCGGGTGCGGAAGGCAGAAGGGCAGGAAGTCGGTGTTCTGCAGCGAGGGTGGCGCGACCGCGCGGGGACCGAGCCTTCCTTCACTATGTGCCTGCCAGCGCTCATCTGCTTCCTCCGAAGACTTCAGGGAGAGTGTCCGAGCTACCATCCCCAAGTGTGAGGACGCAGGGCTGGATGTCAGAACAACATGCTTATCTATTAAACTGCAAACTTTTCTTTTTTTAAACCCAAAGAGTATCGGTGGCTTTTGCCCACTGCTAGAAGAGGGAGCCTAGGGCTCTTGAGATGCAACAGAATCCGTATTTATAACCAAGCCCGGTAGTGCTATGCAAGCCCCCTCCACTCATTAAGTTCTCTATCCTATGGATCTCGCTTTTGAGCTTTGAGATTAGATTAAGCGCTCTGCACTGGGTCCTGCAACCTCCATCCTTTCAATGCCCTGTTATTTTTGGGACTGCTGGCCTTCCCTGGAGATTAGAGCGGTCCTGTGTGCCATGGGCTGTATTCAGAGCATCGGAGGTAAAGCCAGAGTCTTCCGGGAAGGGATTACGGTGATTGATGTGAAAGCCTCCATCGACCCCATCCCCACCAGCATCGACGAGTCCTCCAGCGTGGTACTGCGCTACCGGACACCCCATTTCCGGGCCTCAGCCCAGGTGGTCATGCCTCCCATCCCCAAGAAAGAGACGTGGATCGTTGGCTGGATTCAGGCATGCAGTCATATGGAGTTTTACAACCAGTACGGGGAGCAGGGCATGTGAGTACCTCTGGGTGCAGGCTGAGGGGCGGCGCGGAGGGGCGCTGGAGCAGGGTTCTTGGGACACAGGGGTCTTCAGGCAGAAGTGGAACTGTCTCCAAGTCTTCTGTGGAGCCTTTACTTGTTGATTAGGGTCCTAGCTCAGTAAGGCCTGACTGCTATTGTCTCTGGTGCCCAGAGTTCTTCTGTCCTTCCTGGCACGATGCTGAGAAAGTAGGAACATGTACCTCTTTGGTAAAGCAAGTGTCAGGGCCATCGGGAGTCACTAGAGAAGCCACCACTCTAGCCCCAGGCTCAGGCCTCCATGAACCTCTGAGGTAGACAGGAGTGGCAGGGGCCTCTACACTCCTTTGTACAAGACTTTGTGCTGGGGCCTGGACTTGTGTCTGGGGTCTAGAGTGGGGGTGGTGGGTTTGGATGCACAGAGAGCTGTAGAGGACAACATTGCCATTGTCGGTGGTGGTGGCTGGTGGCAGCGTGTGTGTGTGTGTGTGTGTGTGTGTGTGTGTGTGTGTGTGTGTGTGTGTATGTGCGCGCTTGTGCACACACACACACATGCTCGTGCGTGTCTTAGAGGGACTTCAGAAATCTACTTTGCAGTTTGTGGCTTTGTCTCCCAATAGAGGTCAAGGGTCAGCATCCAGTGTTCCTCCAGTGGGGCCCTAACTAGGAACAGCTAGAGGAGCACACTGGCTTCGTCTCTGTGGTTTGGTCTCCTAGGATGACATAGATCTCCACAGGGACCCTGGGGCCCTTGGGCCTTGTTCTGTATGTTCTCTGGCCTCAAAGAAGGCCATCCCCCATTTGGAAATCATGTGCACAGGAACAGTGGTGAAAACAGCTGCTGAGACCCAGTGGTTCCCTGGGGGACAGTCCCTGGCTTGACCCCTGTGATGGCTCATGGACACTGTCTCATAGTCTTTGGTGTCCACTCTACTTGGCCTCACTTCTCAGCTTTGCAAGTGGGGAAGAGAAGGATCTCCTGGAGAGTTGGAGTTTATGTTTGACAAATGTCCAGGATAACCTGGTTCATCAGGGCTGAGGGTGGCCAGACACAGGTCAAAAAATGTGCCTTCTCCATTTAGTGACTCGTAAACAATAAAGAAAACAGGAAGAGGGGATAAGACTTAAAACTGGGATGTCACCCTGATGCTAAGACCATTGGAGCACATGGGGCCACTGGGCTCCCTATAGCGCCACCTCTGCCTTTGAGCCCTTTCTCTTTTAAGACTGTTGTTACCACAGCTACTCCAAGAGGGGTGGTGAGATTCTCAGCTACCCCAGGGGGTCAAGAGCCTCAGGCGAGGTTGCTTCACTGTTGGCAGTCCTGGGTCCCTAGTTAGATGAACCTTGTGCACCTTAGACTCTGCCATGACTTCCCAGGGTGTGACCTTAGCTACTCTGAGCCTCAATTGACTCATCTGCAAACTGGGGCTAGTCATTGTTCCTTCTGCGTGGTTTATTGAGAGTGTTACTCAGACAGCCTTTGCCCCCACAGTCAGCACTAGGCTGAGTTCGTGTGACTCCTGCAAGCAGGTGGCTGTCAGCCTCAATGTGATTTCAGTTTCAAAAGTCTACAAGATGGAAATAAGTGATGGTGTTTATTAAGCCAACACTAGGCTGAAGCCACTGAATTAGAAAAGATGCCAATTTTTACCCCAGCCTGGATCCTACACTCTTAACTTTTAAAACTGTAAAAATGGCACCAGTCAGGGATGGTTAAAGTGGCCAAGGCCATTTTCTTTGCTCTCTGTTAGTGCCTGGTTCCGCTCATTCTCCCAAGGCACCTGGCTCTTAAGTCCCAGATGGGGCAGAGCCAGCTGCAGTGTGGGGACAGGGGCAGGTGACCATCAAATGGAGAAAATGCAGTAGATGGAGTCACTTGTCTCTTCACCACTGGTCAGCAAAACTGAAGCTTGAATTTGCTTTTGGTGCTGTCCCGTGGTCCCACTGCACATGGTGGGACCTGTCCTGTCCCATGGATACCAGGGCTGCTTTGCAGGAAGCCTGAACCCCACCTTTCATAGCTCCAGACTGCAAACACAGTTAGATGGGACTATTAAAAGACTCTTCCAGGCTGGACTTGGTGGCAGGCACACCTTTAATCCCAGCCCTCTGGAGGCAGAGGCAGGCAGATCTCTCTGACTTGGAGACCAGCCTGGTCTACAGAGTGAGTTCCAGGACAGCCAGGGCTACACAGAGACTTTGTCTCCAAAAACAAAACAAAACAGCACCTCATCTTCCTGTATTAACTGCTGTCTCTGAGCCCTTAAGCCCCAAGTGAATAGGTGATTGTCCCTTCCCCTGCCTGTGCCCTGGTCAGATACTTCTTGTTGGCAGCTGGGGACATTACAGAGGCTGCTTGGCTCCACCTCTTTGAGTATCCTACCCACTCCCCAACTTGTAACAACCACAAATGTCCCCAAACAGGATCCCATGTTCCCTGGGAGGGGTGTGGAATTACTGTTAGACTCGGTTCAGACTAAAGTGACCTGGGGAGGGGACAGCCAGGTGACCCAGGCTGGATTAGAACTTGTGTTCTTTACAAATGGGCTTGTATTAAAAATATTAATTCTGACTACTTATCTGAAATCCGTAATATCCCCCAGCATTATCCCTGCTCAAAATCAATCTCTAAGTGAGGACGGCTTGTTGGATGGCTTTGAAATAGAACACTGAAATTCTGAGAGCTACCACCTCAGTCACAGCCCAGCTGTGCAGGGGGATGCTGGGAGATGGTGGTTCTTGTGCCCACAGTACTTTGAAAGCCAACCTCCTCCAAACTGTTAGAGACACCTGCCTCCTCAGCTGTACCCCGCAATTCCTCAACTGCCACCTGTCAGCTGATGTAGAGCCTTCTAAGTGACAAGTCACAGTTTCTTGCCTGTGTGGGAGACCCTGTACATGCTGTCCCTACTTTGCCTTTCTTCGGTGCTCTCTGGGAGCCCGGCCCATGGCTAAGGCCAAGGCACGGAGTGGTATAGCTCAAGATGAGCCAATGTGCTGATGTGGCAGGGAGGGGAGGAGAGCAGTCTGGACCTCGTTGTTTCCACCTTGTCCCCGTGGGATGAGTAAGGTAGTGCTTGGCACAGAGCCAGCACCCTGGGACACTCTGTCCCCTCTCCCTAGATACTAGGATTACAAATCCCGAGTGTTAGTATTGGATTATTGTTCTATGCTGTGTGGCCAAGAGCTAAACCAAGACCCATGTGTGGTGTTGTTACTCCCTCATCTTCTCTCCGGGTCCCTTTTCATAGCAAGACAGCCTTGGTGAGACTCATGGGGGTAACACTGGGGCATCTTCTACTTTGCTCTCTCTGGGGTGCACCCCAGAACCTCAGAGACCCTAATTTGAGGATGAGAATTCAAACTATAAAGCTTGCCCAAGGATGTTTGCTCAGCACCTGAGGTCTGGAGGATGGCCCCAGGAGGAATGTCCTGGCTAGCATGTGGCCTCTTCCCGGAGCCAGGGCCTGAGTGCCTCACAGAACAATTGAAGACTAAGCTTCCTGTCTTGGGGCGGAAGGCGGCTTCCCCCATCTGCTGGGCAATGGCGGGAGGCTAGGGCGGGGTGAGTGGGAGAGGGAAGTTCTTGCTTCCGAGTTTCAGGATGGGAGGGAAGTGGTGGGGGTGGCCCAGCCTGGGAGAACTCCCCCTGGGCTAGCTGTGACCCAAGTGATGGCTCCAGCCCGAATCTACCTTCTGAGAGTGGGAAGCAAGTAACCTGTTCTGGGGACACACAGAAAGACCCAGCAGCCAGGGATATCCGGAAATGCTAGGGACCTCCACTGTGGATCGGGCACAGTGCGCGTGAGGAAGCCTCAGGGCCTCTTATGTTGGGAGCAGAGTCCAGGCAGCCGCTATCCGATCCTCAATCCGATCCGCTATCCGCTGAGCCTGGCCGTTGCTGGTTTTACCTTTAGACCAGGGCTTCTGCTTTTTAGGGTCTGGCTTACAGAATACCATACCCTGATCTGGGCCTGGCTTTTGGAGACACCATAGGTAACCTAGTAAGCAGGTAAAGTATGTACATGTGAAGAAAGGAGCCAGTGTCAGATGCCGCCACATGAAGATCTTGCCCTGGAACGATGGCAGCAGGAAGCTGTAATAACCCAAGCATCTTGCAGACGGAGAGAGAATTAAAATCTGTCCACTGTGCAGAGCACTGCTGTTACAAACAACCAGGTTTCCATGGAAACAATAGTGTCGAGTTAAAATAAGGCTGGAAGATGAGCCCAGGGTACTGCGGAGATCTTGCCTTGAGAGGCCTTGGCTTCCATCCCCATCACCACAAAGCCCAACAAGACATGCAAGCATCTGATAGAGACAGTTCATTGTGAAGAAAATGCTAAACATGGGGACACATCCTGTGTGTATATGCAGAAACGCCTAGAAGGATGTTTACCGAAGTATAACATTGTGAGTAGCCTCCAAGAGAAGGAGGGACAGAGGAGGCGTGGCTAGTTTTTACTTTATTAATTTCTTAATGGCTTGCTTTTTTTAAGGACACATTTTATTACTAGAAAATAATAAATTTTTTAAAAAGGAAGAACAGTTTATTGAATACCCTGCCAAAGGCCAGTGCTGGGCATTTCTGACTGCAGTATTCTGCCTTGAAGCTAAAATAAAGCAGGCCCTGTTGGGTCCTTCCTCCTCAGGTTAGGCCAGGGCTGGGGTGTGAGTCCGGAGGGGTGGGACAGGAGGAGGAAGGCTCCAGAAGTGGACCTTTGGAAAGAGGCAGCACAAATTCCTTGCTTGAACTGTGGGCAGGCTCTGGGTGCTGTGAAGGCAGGAGCTGGGGTGGGTCATGGAGGGCCTAGTCCAGGGGCATCTTAGCACTGTGTAGAAGGGAGTCTCCCAGGCCTCACTTTCTGTAACATAACTTTTCCAGAGTCAGTGTTGTGGGGATTTTACCAATTAGCAAATCTGTTCAGTTGGCGTCCAGGTGAGCTAACTCCCGACTTTCCCAAGCTGCCTAGCTGAGTGTAGTGCCAGGGCTG